AAAGGAAGTTATTTATGGGTTACCGTATTTGCCGGCGTATAAGACGACTTTTTTGCCCCGAAAAACATGCCTCCAAGTGGGGGGGGTCGTCTTATACGCCGGTATATCCACTGCCGGCTTTCGGATGCTTGTTGGACGCAGCGAAGGCGCCTCTGGCTTCCTGGATCCCCTGCGTCGCTTCTGCTTCATCCCGCTCGCCTCGCTCCGCCCGAGGCTGCAGCCTTCCTGCTCTTCCCACGGCCCCTGGCACTCCGCCCTGCCGCTGCAGCCCCGGGGATTTCTGGAGGGCGTTTCCGGTGGTGGTGGGGGGTCGTCTTATACGCCGGGTCGTCTTATACGCCGGCAAATACGGTACATGTAACAGCAGGTTGTCAATTCCCTGAGTAAAGATAGTGTCAGGATTCCGGCACTTAACCTCATTTAAATCATGATTCTCAAGCCAAACCTTCAAACCTTCAAAAGGATTGATGGGGATTTAACATGTCCGGCACTGCCTGGGTGTAGCCGACTCTGAGACACATCATTCATTGTCACCCTTGACCCTGGTTTTCCCTCCACCCCCTGGGTGTATCGTAATTCATATTCTCCAATGGGACACATTCATAGCCTCAATCATGCTCTCCAGTTAGAATTTTGCATGACAGAAACTTCAATCACCTAGTTACTATCTTTGAAAACATTTATGGAATGCACTTTTGATTTCTAAGCTGCCACACTGTTCCCCCCTCCCTTTCTGTTGGCAACTCTAAAAAGACCATAGAAATATTTTGAGTTGACAGTTGTTTCTTTTCAACTTCTTAAGGTAGCTTACAGTCCTAGGACTTCTGGTTGGCTTCCCATCCTTATAGTAGCCAAATCCATCCTTATTTAGCTTCAGCTTTTCGACGTCAGGCAAGTTCAATCTGGTCCAGCCTACCAACTGGAGCCCAGAATCATAATAGATTCCCAGAATTAATTTGATTTTAATTCCATACAAATGGAAGTAAGTGAGATGAAATTTAATTAATTTTAAATGCATTTTAAATCAAATTTAAGTTTTGTCTTCTCATTGTCTACTTTGTTGCTTCCATGCATTTCATGTCATTATTTCATTTCATTTCATTATTTATAACCATTTCTGCATCTCATTTTTGACCCACTTTCATAAAGCTGGCATAGTTAACTAACTTCTGTTCCAATTATCATTTGTTACTCAATGGTATGAAAATGGTCATGGGCTTCCTTGGGGCCTCCAATCCACCAGCGATGCTGGCCTGTCCTAGCTGGACCTGCAGCAAAAAAAAAATATGGGATGCAGGTTTCATCAGGAATCAGACAAAATAATAGCAGAGATTTCAACATCTCAAGATGCTCAGCAGACCACAAATTTTGAGTCCAAAATTTCCTTTGCTAAGCAAGACGGTTGTTAAGTCAGTTTCAGTGCCATTGTAACATCAAATGGTCACTAAACAAATGGTTGCAAGTTAAGACCTATTGTTTCTTTTTATTTTTAAAATATTTTTCTTATATGTATTCATGTATTCATAATTATGTTTTTACTTATACCTATTATCTTGTAAGCAATTGACAAATAAAAAAATAAATTTCTTTTTAAAAACCTCCAGTGATGGAGCCCCCACAACTCCTGGGGGGAAGCCATTCCACTGATTTAGTATTTTCACTGTCAATAAATTTCTCCTTAGCTCTAGGTCAGATAGGTTTCCACCTCTTGCAATGTTTTGCCCTGTAAAAGCACCATTTCTGCATGATCTGGGACCTCCAAAACTGTTCCTAAATTTAAAAAAAATTAATGTTTCACAGAGGAAAGCTACTAAATATTATGGGTGATGATAGTGGTGATAATACGAATTAATTAAAATTACATTAAAAGTGGAATAGAAATGAAATGTATTTTTGTTCCTGAATCAGCACACTAGATTGGTACAATAGTGTACAGCAATTGTGTCCAGTCTTGGCATCTTTAAGACCTGTGGACTTCAACTCAGGACATTTCTCCTTGGTTCTAGGTTGGATCTCTCTTTAATGAGCTTCCACCCACTGCTTCTTGTCCTGCCTTCTGGTGCTTTGGAAAATAGGTTGACCTTCTCTTCTCTGTGACGGGCCCTCAAGTACTGAAAGACTGTTATCGTGTCCCCCCCTAAGCTTCTCTTCACACCAGAGACATACAAACAACACAGGCATGCAGGATTCTAGAAGGCTGTATAACCTGTGGGTTTTGTCACCACATCTCAGGGATGTCCACAGGGCACCATTAAAAGAAAAAGTCAAAAGGTCAGCTACAATGGTGAGATCAAAGCTTCATTTTATGTGAGATGCACATAAAAATCAAGTGAGGCTTTGACTTCACCATTATGGTGGCCATTTTGACTCTTTTGACAGTATCTTGCAGATACCCCTCCCCCAACCTGATTCCCTGGAGAACGGCTCTCTTTCATGAGCGACCCACCCTTAGAGATTCAGTCAAGACAGAACAAATTAAAAATCAAACGATAAGATGGACGCAGAATTTCGAGGAAGTAATTACAGCAGACCTGCATTTTTCAACCGGAGCAATTTTAAGATGTGTGGATTTCAACTCCCAGAATTTCCTATCCAACATGTTGAGAAATATTTTAGTAGACAAGTAAGAAGGGCCGTGGGAAAAAACAAATCAATAGAATTTATTTCAAGCTACAAATTACCATGAGGAAAAAAAATGGTACAAAATAATTTATAGAGATAGTACGCAGATAATCCTCAATTTATTATTGCAGTTGAGACATGATCATCACAGCAGTGTTCCAATATTTGAGGGGCTGCCAATAAAGAAGAGGGTGTCAATCAGGGGTGGAATTCTACCAGTTCAGACCGGTTCTATAGACCCGGTTGTTATGATTCTGCGTAGTTTGGAGAACCGGCAAATCGTGCCCCTGGCTGGCCCTGCCCCGCTCCGCCCACCCCTCCTCTCCTCTCCCAGTCAGACCTTGTCATGAATGTGCAATATTGTGCGCGTGCCTGACATCGCTGACTGCATTCTCTCCTACCCAGTCACTCCTTAAGGTATTTCTTTTTTCTTCCTCCCGACGATCAGTTGTTCCGATCCCGCTTGATGCTTCACTCAGGAGGCTTCCCTGAGGCTCAGGAGGCCAAAAACAAAGGCTAGGGGGGGTGCTGGAAAAAAAGGAACCCACGCCCACCCAGTCGCATGGCCGTGCCCACCTAGCCACTGAGCCACGCCCACAGAACTGGTAGTAAAAATATTTGCATCGCACCCCTGGCGTCAAACTGCTCTCCAAAGCACTTGGAAGCAATGGATGGAAACTAATCAAGGAAAAAAGGCAACCTAAGGAGAAATTTCCTCACAGTGAGAACAATTAACCAGGGGAACAATTTGCCTCCCTAAATCGTGGGTGCTCCATCACCGGAGGCTTTCAAAAAGAGACTTGGACAGTCATTTTTCTGAAATGGCATAGGGTCATCTGCTTGAGAATGGGGGTTGGACTAGATGACCTCCAAGATCCCTTCCAACTCTGTTATTCTGTGTTCTGAATACAGAAGATCTGTTGCTAAGCAAAGAAACGATTAAATGAGTTACATCCAACTTTGCATCTTGTTTGCCATGGTTGTTTAGCAAATCACTGCCATTTCTAGGTGAAAATTCTGCTTTCCCCATTGGCTTTGCTTATTGGATGCCGGATGGGGGGAGTTCAGAAATGTTGATCCGTAACCCCAGGATGCTGCAACCATCATAACTGCATGCTGGTTGCCAAGCAGCCAAATTTGGAGATGCTGCCACAATTCTAAATGCAAGGATGCTCATAAGTCATTTTTCTCAATACCACTGTAAATTGAACCATCATTAAATGAATCGTTATAAGTGAGACCTACCTGTATTATCCCATTTCTAATTTAAAAAAAACAGATTAAGCGTATAACAACAGGGAAAGAACTTTTCCCCTTATATGGTGTTCAAGCAAAATAAATAAATAAATCAAAAGTATTGGAAAGTAGATTAAAAAAGTCTAAAGATGAAACATCAACTGAAACCACACACATTTTTACTATGCATAATTCCAGAGAGTACTGTTTTGCTAACTAGAGCATTCAAAACCTTTGCTAGACCAACATTTGAATTCAGCTCTGCTGTCTGGAATCCGCACTGTATATCAGACATTAATACAATTGAGCGAGTCCAGAAGTATTTCACGAGAAGAGTACTACACTCCTCTGTTCACAACAGAATACCCTACACCACCAGGCTTGAGATTCTAGGCTTAGACCGTGGAAGCCTTAAGAAGTGGGGACTTCAACTCCCCAGAATTCCCCAGCCAGCCATGGGGAATTCTGGGAATCGAAGTCTACACATCTTAAAGTTGCTCAGATCGAGAAACATTGACTTAATTAATAAGACCCAACCACTATCAAAATGAAGCAGAGCTGTTTGTATCAGGAAAAAGAAGTGGGGAAGAGTTTTATTTTAAAGTTTTATTTTAAAGTTTTATTTTGACCTCACCCCTTTCCTAAGAGGTCTGTAGGGGGCGTGCATAAGCGCACCAACGTGCCTACCGTCCCTGTCCTTATTGTTTATTTTTATTTATTTTTATTATATGTATCCGTGTATCTATAACTATGTTTTTACTTATACCTATTATCCTGTAAGCAATTGACAAAAATAAATAAATAAAATTAAAAAAAATAAACAAACACTGAGGGCGGAACTGCCCCAAAATCATTGGGTTTGAGAATCAGTCGCTTTATTAATAACTGATTCCTGGAGGGGAGAGGATTAAATATTTGAATAGATGGGCTGAAAGAGTTTGGTCGTGGATCCTTCTTTCCTTAAGTATGAGTAGAATTGGAGATGAATGGATTCATTTTTTTTGTGCTTTCTTTTCCTGCATCCTTTCGGATGTTAAAAGAGGCCTGAGCTTGAAATACAACCGGTGGATTTAGTAGGAAACAGTGGGCTGTTTGTCCAATGCTGTTTTTTCCCCCCTACTCTTTATTCAGATACCGCAAAGATGCTCTTCCCTCTCTTGTGGTGGAATTTCAGAGTCTTTGTGCTCTCTCTCCTTCTGAAGAAAAGCCTCTCCTTAAACCCAGATGATCCAAATGTTTGCAGCCACTGGGAAAGGTAAGACATGTTGACTTTTCTTCAGGTCCCATTTTAAGTAGAACATCAGCAAATATATACATGCACACGTATGCACACACACATATAAATACATACACATTCATGCACACAAATATATTTTTTTGTGTGTGAACATGTGTGTGTTCTCGACTTAGGACCTCAATTGAGCCCAACATTTCTGTTCTTAAGAGAGACGTTTGTTATGTGAATTTTGCCCCATTTTACAACCTTCCTTGCCACAGTTGTTAAGTGAGTCCCATTGATTATGTTTGTCAGAAGGTCGCAAAAGGGATTATGGGACTCTGGGACACTGTGACTGTCATAAATAGGAACCAGTTGCCAAGCGCCTGAATTTTGATCATGTGATCCTGGGGAATGATGTAACGGTCATGTGAAAACTGGTCATGCCACTTTCTTTCAGTGCCATTGTAACTTTGAACGGTCGCTAAACGAATATATGAGATAAAATATTAGGTAAAGATAAAGGTGGAAGGTTCCCTCGCACATACAAGCTACTCGTTTCCAGCTCTAGGGGCCGATGTTCATATCCGTTACAAAGCCGAAGAGCCAGCGCTGTCCGAAGACGTCTCCATGGTCATGTGGCTGACATGACTAAATGCTGAAGGCTCACGGAACGCTGTTACCTTCCCACCAAAGGGGTCCCTATTTTTCTACTTGCATCTTTTCTTTCGAACTGCTAGGTTGGCAGAAACTGGGACAAGGAATAGGAGCTCACTCCATTACGTGGCGCTAGGGATTCAAACCGCCGAACTGCCGACCTTTCTGATTGACAAAACTCAGTGTCTTAGCCACTGAGCCACCGCATCCCCTTAAAATATAATAAAATATTCTATAAATAAGTAATATTAATTATTGATTATTTATAAAATATGTTATATTTTGATAAAATAAAAATAATTATTGATTTAAATAATTATTTATTATTAAAGGTAAAATATTAAGTTAAGGTAAATCCATAAAACCAACATAATACGGTGCCATAGAATCGCAGTAGGCAATAGATGTTACAATTAGTTATCTAAACTGCTTTCTGATGTGGCTGCGATGAGATAATCCCAGGTGCCTTTAAATTTCCTGAGGAGAGATTCTTGAACTATATACAGTATTTGGGCTTATATGCATAATATGCTTTATTGTGTAGTATTGTACAACAGTAATTGCATGACCTCTGGAGATGCCGTATGCTAAATAAATAATTTGTTTAAGGTAAGCGTGCAGCCTTTTTGTATTTAAAAATAAATCCAAATAAACCCCTTCTCGATGTAGCTTTAAAATATAAAACATAATATTACAAAAGGTAATGTAATTCTGTATGACCATTGAATGCATCTTAGTCGCTATCTTGTTGATATTTTTTGAAGGCCTTGGTATCTGGTGTGCACAGATCTTGCATTCTAGGCTTAGGCATTCCTGCTTACAGTTTCAGTATTTAAAATATGCCTGAAATATACTTTTTATGTGTGCCCCAATTCCCCAGATGTGTCTCTGTATGAAGCTCTGGCATGGGTTTGCTGTTTGATTTATTAGAATTATATACTAGCTTCCCTCAAAAGCCCAAAGCAACATTTGTATCCTATAGTTAGTCCTCTATTCTCTGTACAGGTAGTCCTCAACTTATGACCACAATTGATCCCAAAATGTCTGTTGCCAAGCAGGACAGTTGTTAAGTGAGTTTTGCCCCATTTTACTGTTAGAATTTGCAGCATAAATTCACGTCCAGAAACCACACAGACCGATTCAGCAGGATCATTAACTTCTTTATAAACATATTAATGTGAGTGAAGTTTACAATACCATTTGTAGATTCTTTCAATGTAGCATTAGCAAAACACAAGCAGAATATGTTACTAAGCTATATTCCAGTTCATGAATATATTCTGACATTTATGACACTGCAGTTGATAGGTTAGTAACCTGGTTGTTAAGCGAATCTGGCTTTCCCATTGACTTCGTTTGTCAGAAGGTCGCAAAAGGCGATCACATAACCCCGGGACACCTCAAGAATCATAAATACGAGCCAGTTGCAAAGGGATGCTGCAGTGGGCATAAGTGTGAAAAACAGTCCTAAGTCCCAATTTTCAGTGCCGTTATAACTTTGAATAGTCACTAAGTGAACTGTTGTAAGTTGAGGACTACCTGTCATCGAGCACGGAATTGTGGTCATAAGTATTGGCAGTTACTAAGCGGGTTACCACATGGCTGGGGCCAATTTTACGTTCTTTCTTGCGGTGCTCAGTGAGCGAACATCGCAGTTCTTAAGAGAGCACATTTTCCCCGATGGGGTTTTTTTTTGGGGTCAGAAACCAGAAGTAAAAGCTGGAAATTGGCTAACAACCACCGAAAATCATATTCACGTGATTGTGGTATACTCAGAAGTGGGCTGTGAACCTTGTGGCTAATGTTATGCCCAGTTTGGTGAACTGTCAAATCCCAGTCCTGGCCAGCCCTGCCCACCTCAACCCACCCTTCCACTCAGTGAGGGTGAAAAATGGGCCTCCGGGAAGTTCTGGAAGTCTGAAAATGGGCCCATTTCCGGCTTCTGGAGGGCCTCCGGAGCCCGGGAGAGGCTGTTTTCACCCTCCCAGAGGCTCGAGGAAAGCCTCCGGAGCCCGGGGAGGGAGAAAACGCCCCCTCCCCCGTGGTGCAGGAGGCTGACTAGGCCACGCCTTCCCAGCAACCAGGCAGAGAACCGGTTTCCGAATATTTCGAAGCCCACCCCTGGGTGTGCTGAAAATGGGCTTAAATGTGAGTGGGTTGCCAAGCACCCAAAATGGCACCCATAGAACCCATATGGGGAGGCGGGGTTGGTGATAAGTAGCTCTGGGGAGGTCGGTCATAATTTCGAACAGTATCTAAGCGATCTGTTGTTAAGCGAGGGTTACCTGCATGGAGGGTGCTTGGAGGATGGGGTGAAAGAGACCCAATGTTTGTCAGGCCCCCCGCCCCCCGCCAAACCAAAACTGGCACATGGTCATTCTTCCAAGCTGACTTCACCCCTCCCTCTTGGGAATCCATGCTGGACCTAAGCAAGATGATGTATTTACGTTTGTATGTATATTATTATTATTATTATTTATAAAATAAAGATGAGTGATTGTCAGTATAAAAAATATCTGTTGCTTCAGGATGGAAGAGTGTTGTCTTGGAAAGCAGTGGGACACAATTTAAGGGGTCTCCTGGGCCCATTACATCTTCTATAATAGCAAGTGGAAGCTGTGGGTAGAAAGTTTTTGCCAACCTAGATGGATGTGTCAGGCCTTCCTATCTTCCTTCCTTCCTTCCTCCCTCCCTCCCTCCCTCCCTCTTTCCTTTCCCATTGCACCCCTTCTTTCCTTCCCCTTCTTTTCCTTCCTTCCCCTTCTTTTCTTTCCTTCCTCTTCTTAGCAATAGCAATAGCACTTGGACTTCTATACCGCTTCACAGTGTTTTACAGCCCTCTCTAAGCAGTTTACAGAGTCAGCCTCTGGCCCCCAACAATCTGGGTCTTCATTTTACACACCTCGGAAGGACGGAAGGCTGAGTTAACTTTGAGCCTGGTGGGATTCGAACTGCCAAATTGCAGGCAGTTGGTAGTCAGCAGAAGTAGCCTGCAGTACTGCACTCTAACCA